TTTTTTGTGCCAGTGAGGTTGGTGGGAGGAACTTTAATGATTGCCTATCGTTTCATTCATCACTTCACTTCGTTTCATGTCGCTTTCATAGGTCACCTGTTCTCGCAAATTTCCGCAAAAAAACGCTAGACAGAAGATGCACTTGGCAGTGACTCGACCGAGCAAATATCAGATTCTGAGGCGCGCTTGGCCTTCAGGAACACTGATCTGTGCCCCCGACCCCCGTTTTATTGTTTCGAACGAGTTCAGGCCAAGCTGTTTGAACAGTTTAAGTATCTCACCTTTCGTAACTGCTGCTGTCCGTGTCTTCAGATATTCGGGCATAATATGAAAGAATGAGTTCGTTGGTCGTAAAACTGTACATATGTACTAAAGATGTCACTTCAGAATACTCCGATGGACTTTCCAATATGCTACAGATCGCTTTCAGTGATACCTAGAATCAGTTCCTTGATTTATTGGATCATTCAAGTGATAGAATAATCAATCCTTACATAGATTTCGGTGTAATAGTCTGGAGTTTGCGCTTTTCGTAGATTTCGCAGGATTTCTGTTTCGAGCATTTTATGAAGAATTCGAAGAGCCAATTGTGAACATCTGAACACTTTGCTGCTGCTTTTCGTCTTTCCTCTGACCTTACGGAGAACTTTTCGGCGCTGACTGTAATCACACATTGCTCCGACGAAGTTCATCTCCTTGTGCAAAGTCTGCGAGGCTACTTTTACATTTGATCATCTGCTGGCTTTACCGATTTACCTCTCTTCTGCAATGAGATAGTGGTGGGGTAATCAAGGACAAACTGTACACTCACCTGTTATGGTCCTTGCTGTGTATGGAGCAGTAGCGTGCCACTTTCTGCGGTCAGAAGTGCACGGAAACGGGGCGGAAAGGTAGTGCTACCCGAGTGCTATCTCCATAGTCCGCCCGCGCTGCCGCATGGCCTGCCACTTCCCTTACCATAGCTAAACACGCTACTTGTTTGCACTCTCTTTTTTCTAGTGGTCCTTTACCGCTGAGTGCGAGTTACGTTGTGAGGCCTTGGTACGACGCAGGCGCTGCACCTTGGGGATAGCACGAGACGGAGTATGAAGACGGCACTCGGTACCACCACCCTGCAGCCGCTTTCTCGTGCGCCTTTGTCCTGAGAAAGTGGCAGGCTACTAGCTGCTGACCCATTCATATCGCACAAGGGAGGAAAGGCAAGCGTACAGTGTGTCCTCAAAATCGAAATGGTAGCCATAGGGATGATGAGTCAAGCCCGAAACAATTTGTCCCGGCCAAGGCTTGAACCTATCCTCAAGCTTTTGGAGCAAGTGTGTTAGAATTACACTAGGCGAGAAAGCGACTTCTGCCGGCTCTCTGCTGCCCCTCAACCCGAAGCGGTGTCTCAAGTTCATACCCTAGCTCGCTTAACCCATTGCGTACCGCGTGCTGCACCATGTGCAGCACGCTCGTTTGCCTCTGGCCGCGTGCTGCACATGGTGAAGCACGCTTCGTTTGAACTTATTTAGCATTGTTAGATGATTGAAAAGAGTCGGTATATTCCTGAAGTCTCCTGGGACAAAATATGTGTGGAGAAACTGGCGGTTGAATAAGAGCAAAGTTACTGACATTTTTCGCGAGGAAGCACCTCTACTAATATCCTTTGTTTAATTTTATTTACGATAAACAGAAAATCCTGGTTATTAACACGAGTGAATCTGTAAAATGGTGTGAGTGAGTTTTCAGGCCAATGCATCACGTTTCTCTACTGATTCTTAAATTTTATACAGCTGTTTGGCTTAGTTTCGCATTTGTCGGCTCATCGCTTTCATCACGTGACATAATTTGAATCACATTCAGTAACATTACATTAAAAGTGATGCATAAATGCGATGTGTGTTTAATATCCCTATAATTATTGTATGTAATCTTATGTGTTTATACTCAGTGCGCCAAGTCGCGTCGATGAGGCGTCTGCCATAGGAGCCGTTAGCGCAAAAATGGCGCGGTACGCCAAAGGGTTAATTAGTTCGACATCGTCACGATCTGGCGGCACGGTGTCAGGAGGGGTGGGTGAGCCCTCCCGCGGCTGCGTTTTCTCCCAGTGGTGGCAAGATGAATTGGAAAACAAGTAGTGGTACAAAAAAATGGGCTCATTCCACGTCTCCTGACACGCGCCATTAGATAGCAACAGTATCAGCTTACCTAAAAAATATGTATACAGTAAGCCTATCTCTGTTGCCATGCTCTTGGCTTTTCAGATGTGGCGTTCGCTCTTTTTTATAACCCCTGTTTTCATCTATGTTCTTAGAAACTGATCTTCTCTGAATAATTCTGTTCTCACCTTCGAAAGAAGATCTGCACGGACGTCGCAGGCCATTCTGTCCACACTGTCGAGATTTGCGTGTATTTTCTCCGCAGGTGATATCTCCCGCATGTAGACCGCCTTGAAAACGATTCTATTAGTTCATTCTTACACAGCAACTCTCCACTGGTCACTCACCAGTTTTTTGTTATGTTCATAGCTTTCCAAGGTGATATTACGAGCGATTTTGGAGACACAATCCCGTTTGCCTCGGCAGTATATGCGCAGAAGACCGTCGATAATTTGGTCACATCTCTGGAACGGAGTTTTTGAGGAAATTCTCTTCTTTCTGCATCGCTTCACTTTTTTCAAGGACACGGGCAT